AAAAGGAGTTTGGTTGCAAGGACAGACCAGTGGGCGCCATTGGAAGATATGAAACAGAAGGGTGGCATGATGCAATTAAAATATTATGAAGATTGCCATGGCAACACTTGCCTGGATTGGGAACTCTGCTCTTTCAAAAGTCAGGTAATAAATAGTGAGTATCTGATCTAATGTAGTGGCAAGGAGTTTGGAGGGGACCACAATTCAGGTGGTCAGCTGGTACCAATAACCAAAACTAGGGTTTTAAAGAAAAGATGACTTAGCCAGTTTTAGAAATTTTGAGTTTGAGGATATTTCGAGATATCCATGTCGAGGGTTCTAATGGGCACTTAGAAAGCCAATGCTAGAGATCATAGCAATAGCCCAAATTGAGATACAAATCTGAGAATTATTGGTATGCAGTGAGATTAGACGGAGTCCAGCAGAGAAATTATATCAGGTAAAGTGAAAATAGGGCTGAGGACAGAACCCAGATGGCCATAAAACTTATGAGAGGGGCATGGTAGGTAGCATAGTCAGGAAAGAGACTGAGAAGGGCATTCTGAGAGGCAAGAATCATGTCATGTGGGAAGTATCAAGAAGTAGAATATGATTGACAGTTTGAAAGGGAGTAAGGCATAAATTAATACAAAAAAATAAATGTGGCTGTCCATGATTTGGCAATTAGGAAGTTGTTGACTGTAAAAAAAAGACCATTTTAGTGGAGTGACTGGGTGAGAGGTCAAATTACAAAAGTTTAGCAAGTGGATAAAAAGTGATGAAATGGAACCAGAGTTATGCTTAACTAGGAATCAAGGAGCAAAGAGGATGAGTAGTTACAGGCTACAGAATCCAAGAAGGGTTGTCTTAGTATTTGTTTATTCACTTTTAGGAAGAATGCAATTCGAATATATTTTATATGATTGCACTCACTGACGCAGGCAGGCTCTAGCTGTTGAGTGTATAAATCACATGTCGAGGAGGACCCTCTCAGACCCTGAAGGCTGTGTAGATTTCTCTTTTGCTCGCTCCAGCTGAAACAGCCTCCTACAGGTGTAATAAATCCACCTGTGTGATTTACTTTCTCAATCCAGTGAAAAGTCACATCCTGGGTGATGCTTTATGACCCCCTCTATGTCCTTTCAGGGAAAGTAAGCATGAAATACCATTGTCACCCAGAAATTCTGAGGATAGTTTTGTCGGGGAGTGTGAAACTTCTCTGGGAATTTAAATGGGCATAGCTGGGACTGTTTACATGACCCATACCACAGGGAATATTCTCGTTAATAATCTACTAATCGATGTGTCCTTTCTTCGTGCTGCTAGTTGGGGGTAGCAGATGACCTTTGTGCTTTTTTGTTAATTTTGCTATTTGAAGTTGTGTTGCTTTCTCAAGGACAATTTTAAATAAAGCAGGTTTTTAAAAAAAAAATAGTTTTTTTACCAACAATAACTTCCCTTATAAAGTACCTTTTTGTGCGGGAGGTTAATCCACACCCGTCACTGTAAGCCAAAGACATTTGACACACTCTGTTTCCAATGCTGTAGAATGGGGAGTACGCATCTATTATAATTCTTTACTAATTCTTTGCAAGGCCAGTTCACAGCAGGAAACTCATTTGCCCACAGGAATTTCTAATCATATGTACTATTGTCTATACGCTTTAACTTTCTCACATGTTATACTGCTAAACGGACACCATCATGACATAAAGGACATTGTTTTGGGGGTCAGCATTGCTCACTAAAGTGCCAAAGTTTTCTTTTTCTCCTTTTTTTCTGACCTTCACCCCAACTTACATTTTTTCAGCATAAATCACCCATCCTCGTGTGATGGGCAGAATTGAGGTCAGAAAACTAGTAAGTGGCAGGTTTCTTCCTCCATAATCGTTTTCCAGCCATTACGTACGCTACAGAGTATTGTATGATTGATAACAGAGTGGCTATGAAATCCCACAGCTGTGAACGAATCTTAGCTCCACCATTTGCTAACTTGCATATGGCAAGTTACCTGACATTTCTGTTCTTTGAGCTCCTTGTCGATAAAATGGGAGTTGTGGTGGTGCCTACCTGACAGGGTGCTGAGTCCTAAATAAGAGAAATGCAGGTAAACTGCTTGTAATATGCCTAGCATACATCACTATGCTTAGCTACTGTCACGTTTTAGAGCATAAAAAAAACATACATTATTATACTCAGTTTTAGAATTTACTAATATTTTACATTACTAGAAAATGCAGACTCATGATAATTAAGATTAAATAAAAAGCAAAATAAAAAACATTTTATTCAGAAATGAGCAAAGCTTTTAAAGCTGAGTAAATCTGGATGTGGGCTTCCATTCTGCCTCTTGGTGCTGTGTAACTAACCTTGGACAAATTGTTTAATCTCTCTGAGCCCCAGTTTCCTCAGGTATAAATAGGGAGAATGAAAGCTACCTTATATTTCTTATGAAAATTACAGAATCTGTGTCAGAGACTTAGTATATAATACATACTTAATAAATTTATGTTTTTTGCTATGCTTCCTAAGTATAATAAATTCTTATTTTTGTCATAAAAGAAAACCGGCATGTAAAAGAAAATAAAAGGAAACCAAAGTATACATCTAAAGCAAAGCATATCCATTCCTTTACCACCTTCTTGAGTTGTTGGCAAAAAAGAAATCCGGAGAGTTTTAAGAAAAGAATGTTTGCTTTTCCTTATGACATAAAACCAAATCTTGGAAGTTTGGTTCTCATTTGTAGCAGACACAGAAGTTGAATTGGAACATCTTTAGTAGATTTTCTGCTGGATTTAGAGAGAGCCATTATATATTTACCAATCAAAAGCAAAAATCTATAGTAAAAAATCACAGATATGTAAGATTTATTCTCAGATGTCAACATATTATTCTTTAAGTGATCTATGAGTGCCTTTTGAAAGGCAATTTACTTAATTTTGACAGGATCGAGTCCAAACATTGCAGGCAAATAAATATCATGCTTGTTTTCAAAGAACTCCACAGAAAAAGAGTCAATAATCTTCGATCATAACCAATTTGTAAACTTTATTATTAAAATACTATAATAGCTCCAAAATCATTATCACCACTGAATGGTTAGAATTTTATTTGGCTGCAAGTAACAGAAAACCCAGCTAACAGTGGCTTGTTACTGTCCTCACACTAAAAACTAGCTAGATGAAGGTGCTGCTGGTGTTGGGTCAGTAGTTCAATGGTCTCAGCCTCAGCACATCTGTTCATCTTTTAGCATTTCTCTCGTCATTGCTGCCTAATGGTCAAAAGATGACTATTATAAGGACCGATACTGTGTCCAAGTTCAAGACAGGAAAAAGGAGTGATTTACAATTGCAGCTGTCTTTTCTTTCATCAAGAAAATCGAGTCTTCTGAAAGGCTCCAGAAGACTTCTTGGCCAGGGCTATGCCATATGGCCACCCTACTGCACGGAAAGTGGGAGAAGTATTTAATTGTCTGGCTTCTAAATTGCAGATGCCAAAAGAAAATAGACACGTGAATGTCTGCTGAGTTCGTGAAAAATGTTTGATCCACCATTATCAAGGAAGTCCTGTATCCAAAGTCTACAAACTAAGCTAAATAGATCTGTTACCTACTCTAATCTTTACTGCCCTTAGAAAATTCCATTTTCTAATTCTTCTTTATATGCACTTGTACATTGATATTAGGTCACTCAACCATATTTCCTAAAAAAAACAAAACATGAATTCCATTAGTGCTAGATTTGATACCAGGTGTAGAATAGTTTTGTTTGTTGTTGTTATCGTTTCTACCTGGGCTAAGAATATTGCCTTTGGTAGCAAGTCTTTATTGCACGGAATGTGATGGTTTTGCACTACTGAATCCATAAATAAATAAATCTGCAGGTGGGAGGCAAAGCGTCTGTTGTATCATCAAATCCTTAACTTAATGGCTGTTAAATAATTTTCCCAAACATTCTGGAGTCTTACATAATTTCAACATGCAACACTTATTTTTCTTCCGCTTTCATGAAAGTCATTAGACCATTAAAACCATTGAGTGATGTTCACTCCATCTGGGAACATTGACCTCACATTTGCTTTGGCTGTTCGTCCACCCTTTTCTCATAGGTTGATCATTTTTGCCAAGCTATTATACTACCTAATATTTTTAATAATATGCCTCGTATTTTAGAAGAATTGTGTCTTAATCTGTGGGGTACCAAGGATGGAATAGTGTTGGTGTTCAGCCTCAGATGCATACACCAAGGAGTACATGGTTTGTAGGTATTTTAAAATCATTAATAAAATTAAAAGTTGGCCTGCTTTTTATTGCCAGCAATTCTAGACAATGTACATGATAAAATCCTCTCCCTGCCAGCACAAACCACCACGACCCCACCTCACCATGTTTAGTATGCACCACTTTGTAACTTTAATTTTTCCCTTTCAAATAAGTTATTGGCTTCAGGTTTTAAAGAACAAACATTATCTGAAGTCTTTTCTATGGAAGAAAATTCAGGGTTTCTTTTCCCGGTTTTATCACCTTGATTACAATCGTAGCACAACTTGATTGAAAACAAAAGGGGAAAAGAAAAATGAACAGAATTTAAACTAAATGCAAATTACACTTAAATATAAAACTGTAACAAAAGTAGAATTGGACTATTGTCTCCAGAATATTTCTGCTTTTAAGCTTTTTGAAAACGATTACTTTCCCAGAAGGAAAAAATAAATAAAAACCCCAGACTCGTTACATTCATTACAATGTTTCTTATTTCAAAGTGGATATCTGAAACTCAGTATCTCTATTTCGCTTTTGGGCTATATACATAGAATACAGGGAAAAGGGACATGAGATAAACCCTTTTCATTTGAAGAACTGTATATAATGAATTCGATTCTATAATAACGTGAAATACCAAATGTTAAGTCCTTGCTAGCATTCCAATCTTTGTTTTTCTGTTATGTTGAGTTTTAAAAGAAAACGACAAAGTAGGGTGAGATAAATTTCTCAAATTCACTGTGTTCCTTTCTTTTTCTAGGCATTTTTGGACAGAAACTGGAAGACACTGTCCGCTATGAGAAGAGATACGGGAACCGTCTGGCCCCCATGTTGGTGGAGCAGTGCGTGGACTTTATCCGACAACGGGGGCTGAAGGAAGAGGGTCTCTTTCGACTGCCAGGCCAGGCTAATCTTGTTAAAGAGCTCCAGGATGCCTTTGACTGCGGAGAGAAGCCATCATTTGACAGGTAGATGTCAACATTTTCTTAACCGTCTTCATTAAGAAACTGACCTGAAAGGATGCCGTGAGTTCAGGTAACATTACCTTGATTGCTGTGGCAGCAGTTTAGGACCTGGATTATTTGCCCACATGAGTTTGGATTGTTTTTATTAAGTTGCAAAGTCAAAAATTCGGCACTTGATATCTTTCTCTTCCATACTTTTTTCTTCATCTGAAAACATTCTTATTTGTTCTTTTCCCTTGGTACCAAATTAAAACTGTATTAAAGTTTTGCATTGAAAAAAATGAACTTGTAATATAGGAGTCTTCTCTTGTTTAATGTTTTTTTTAAATTCTTTCAGTTGAGGGATATTAAAAGTATTGGTAAATAGAAATTGGGATATTGGCAATGTCATTAAAAATAATTATTTTTAGTAATAATAGAAGCAGTATATTTTAAAATATATAGCTCCACCTTAATCTAGAAGAGATTTTCAAGGAAACAAGGAGAAGTACAGCATGGTGAAATTCAAAAATTAATGGAAGTTTCAGAGAAGAAAATATAAAAGGTTAATAACTCCACTAATTAAGAGTTAATCTCAGTTAATATTTTGTCAATTATCTCCTTCTCTGTTGCTGGCAAGGTGTGTTTAGGTAGGCACCTTGACAGCAAGAGTACAAATTGTTATAATCTTTCTAAAGCAATTTGGTAATATATTTCAGGAACCTGTAAGCAGGAAATTCTAGTCCCAGAAAAAAATCAGATATGTGGAGAAAAACTTAAGTATTATTATAATTTTTATAATAGTAAAAAATAAATACCAATCTATTATCTCCAACAGTGAGTATGGTTAATTAAACAATGGTACATTTATATAACAAAATATTATAGTGCTTGCTTAAAATTTTGGAAAAATTCTAATTATGTAATGATAAATGTACAAATAAGACAGGATCAATTAATTGATTAAAACTCTGCCTTTTTACAAAAAGTATTACAAACAGTTTATAAGGACTCACAGATTTTCTCTGGGAGAAAAAAAATAAATGTGGAGGTAAAGAAATGAATTCAAAACTAGGATCAGAGAACAAATTTCGAGACTGCAGATATACTTTTTGCAAGGGAGCCATAGTGCATCTTATGGATAAGTGTATTTTATCTTATAATTTGAAAAAGAAAACGTGGTAAGTAGTTAGTTCAGACCTATCTACAACATATGAACAATTATTTATCTAGGAGAAATGAAAATTTTTAGTACCAAAATTAGAAAGAAATTTATCAGTAGGATCCTCCTAATAGAATTTTGTGTAATGGCATAAACAGCATCCTCTGCAATAAATTTCATGAGACAATAATAAGTTTCGGTGCCCTTTTAAAATATTTATATATAGCCTAAATATATGAAGATGACATAATAACAAAGCATATTTATTAAATTTATTTTTACATAGGCATTTATGATTTGGTTCTTATGTTTTTGCTAATATAGGTCAATGGAGAAATATTTTATATATTTAAGAAACCTGTAAGAACAAAAGTGCCCTATAAGCAATCATCTCCAAATCAAGTTAATAACTATTGACTGACAATGAAATATTGCTCAATCTTTGTATAAATGTGATCCTAATTATCACATTTATGAAATGTATATATTTTTGGTATAAAATGCATCAGTGCATAAACAACTGAAGAAAACATAACAAAAGATTTCTATTGCCAAAGACTCTGTGAGTTGCTGCATCTTTCAGAATTCTTAACAAGGAGCCTTCTGGTCACACGCATCATTTAGTTTTTACCTTTAACTCATATTTTACTGGCAGCACCCTGGATTTTACCTTTTTCTAATGGCCATTTCTTGCCAGCTAGAAATACTGTCCTAGAGCCGTTATAGTTTTTCTAAATTCTTCTTCAAAATGGAACAGTTCCTTCTTTAGTTTATCTGTCCTTTGCACTACCTTATCGTATACAAATAAAAGATGCCAATTAGTGCAGTCAGCATTTGACCTGAAAACCTCCTGAGCCAGGGCCACAAGTTCATCAGGAATGTTTTCTATGTTCCAAGTTACTGCAGTCGACAGTCTTGTTAATTTTTCCAGCACTGTTTAGTAAGCATTTAGCTTTCTCTAGCCTCTAATAGCAATGTTTTCACTGTTCTTCCAGCTCTTCTTCTTTTTTTTTTTTTTTTTCTGAGACAGAGCCTCACTCTGTTGCCCTGGCTAGAGTGAGTGCCATGGCGTTAGCCTAGCTCACAGCAACCTCAAACTCCTGGGCTCAAGCAATCCTCCTGCCTCAGCCTCCCGGGTAGCTGGGACTACAGGCATGCACCACCATATTTGACATATTTGAAACTCGGACTTGGGGGGGACGGGGGGGCAAGGGCAACATACGTAACCTAAACATCTGTACCCCCATAATATGCTGAAATAAAAAAAAAATATATGGAAAGAAATTCCCAGAGGTATTCTGCAAAGATAATTTCTAGTCATTGACATTGTACCTCTAACATTAAGCCATGAAATTTGATTTTTAAGGGAACTTTTTCTCTTAACATTTACAAATATTTAAAATTTTAACAGTATGAAGTGTTATTAAAATTTAATTTGAATATTATTAAAATTACATTTTAAATTATAATATTTTGTATACAATTTTGAATATAGAAAAATATAAGGAAAGATAAATATTTCAAAATTCAACAACTCCAAGAATTCTTATTATAGACAGCATATAAATAAGTAGATATATAAAGACTTAAATATATCTATACAACACAAAACAGATATGTATATATATATATAAAGTATTAGAACCATACAATCTTTACATCTTGCCTTTTCTCCTAAACATTATATCATGATCACTTTCCTATGTCATTAAGTACTTTTCACGAACATAATCCCAACGACTATATAATAATTTATCATGTTAGTATGCTGCTTTTCTTAATTCTCCCTCTGTTGTTGTCAATGTTTGCATGTATCAGTCTTCTGAAAAGCATCTGTGTTTAGAAATCTGCCTGAGCTTTTGAAGCAAGGGATTCATTTGGGGTTTGGAAGATAATATTTTGCATTTCAATAGGAAGGAATATTTTGTCCTGTGGGAGAAAAAAAGAAAAGGCGGTCTGAGAAAAAGGCATTTGGAAAATACATTATTTGAATTTAGAGTAGTTGCGAGTGCGTGCGCCACCTTTTATCAAACCATGTACTTTCTGCTCTCAGAATAGTATTCCGAACGCAATTTTTCCTGTTCTAAAGTTCACGTTTGAGACTTTTATATATGCATGACTCATTGTTCCTACAGTTATGACATATTCCCACAGACTCCTCGGCCCAAGTGAATTTTGTGAGCAAGGGCATGCTCATTGATCTCAAAGAATTTGTATTTTATCAGTTCCTATCAACTGTAAAACACCAACCAAAACAAAACAAAAAGCACCAGATATCACAGACCCTAACCATTCTTGTCTTTATTCTTTCTACTTAGGAATGGAAAAAAATTAAAATACAATATTTTATATTAAACTTCCCAATTTTAGGGCCACAGAAATGAAGTATAGAGTGTGTAAAATCTGATTAGAAACCAAGAGTTATTTTGTTTCCAGAGCTCTCCAGATGGTATCAGCTGTTAAAGAAGACACATTTTGGAAGCGTTCGGAAGGCAGGGTCAAGAATGGCGGTGTGAATGTCGCCATCGTAGCATCAGCTGCTGGGCAACAGAGTAACTGTGCACTTACAGCACGGGGCCAGGAGCAAGGACAGAGGCTTCACGAAGCCTGGGGTTTGCACATTCTGTCCAAGAACCCCTAAAACTGCTGTCCTAGGTACCCAGCTGCCCCCCGATGCACCCGTTTGGCTTCCCTCAGTCCTCCTTTTCCTCTCCTCCCCTTTCATTTACTTTTTTTAGATGTGTTTTGGTGACTAAACAAACTGCAGATCTTCAGAGATGAAATAAAAAAAAAATATATAAAAGCCTAAAGTTTAGAAGACGGAAAAGCCAAACCTATTAATATTTTAATTTAATCCTCTGGGAAGTAATTTAGCTCTGGGTATTACTGATCTAAGTTGTGAAAAGTAAACTTGAAAGCAGGGAGTACCACAGACCTAGTAGGATTCTCAAATATTAGTTTACAGAAGAGTGACTTAAAGGAACATCTTAAGATGCAGATGCCCAGACCTCACTCACTCTCATTCTGATTTAAAAGGCTGGGGAATGCCTCAGAATCTACATTTTAAACAATCCCCAGAAAATTCTAATATGCATGGTCCTAAAACCGTAATTTGGGAAATACTTTCTAGACTCTCAGCCGCAGGAGTGTGGGGTACAGGGACTTGCTCGTTAGAAGTGATGTGCCTCCATCTTCTCATCAATGAAATGGGGGGAAGGAGAATCAGCTTCACAGCATTGGCAGCAACGTATTAGTCCTCATCAGGCCAGCAAGTCTTATGCTAGTGAATTATTTTGGGGGATATAGAGTTGATGTGTAAAATACAATATTTCCTACCTGCCAAAAAGGGCAGAAATTTCAGGACAGCCTGAATGGTACATCCCTGCACATTTATGCCTTGACGCACGTAAAAACTGAAACAGCGAAGAGTTCAGTAGCAAACTGTACAGTTGCTACAGTCATGGAGCCTTAGTGTCACGGTGTGAATAAAAGATCTAAGGGCAGCGCTTGACGGAGGAAGGTAGAGAAAGCAGGTGGTAGCTTGAGAGCACGTGGATGGGTAAAGGGAGGAATCTGTGTCACTAAAGGGTTGGAAAAGCAAAGAACAGACTCCCAGGAGTTTGTCTAAGACAAGCCCTGAATGTGTAGGTGCTGAACTGGCTACCTGTTTTCAGCACCCTAAATGAATCTGAAATCAAGAGAGGGTCCAGCTTGCCAAGGTGCAGAACAGCTGTTTACCGAGGGTAGCTCTTAACGTCCCTATTTTTTGATGCAGTTCTTAGAGCTATGATGGTGTGACTAGATTAGAGAACCATCGTCTTTGAGTATTTCTCAAACTTCTGTCATTCACGTAGTATCATGA